AGAAGAGAGGAAGAGGGAGAGAGGAGAGGGAGAGGAAGAGGGAGAGAGGAGAGGGAGAGGAAGAGGGAGAGGGAGAGGAAGAGGAAGGACACCGGGGCTCACAGTGCCAACAGTTACTCGTGGTGACGGTGGCTGCCCCCGCACCCTGCTCCCCGACATCCAAGATTTGCATAAAGGGAAGGTAGAAGGACAGATTGCATGGTTCCTGAGCTGCAGTCGGATCTAAATAGCCCACCTCCTGTGTGCAAATGGAGAAACTGAGGCCCAGGTCGGGGGGGCCATGACTTTCTCAAGGTCACTCAGTCAACAGACCTAGGACTGGAACCCAGCCTTCTGATGCCAGGACCAGGGCCATTCCCCCCGTGCCGTGACACGGGTCACGGGGTCAGAGGACATTCTTGCCGGCTGCCACCCCTACCCCACCTGTGGGACCTGAGGCCTCATGTCCTCCCTCTAAGTTCCCAGGCCCCGAGAAGGCCCACTGGCCTTGAAGGAGCCACACAGGGTGAGTGTGGGGACCTGAAGAGCTCTAGGAGGGACCGCGTCTGCAGCAGCCCTGACCCCTCTTCCTCCTCAAGCAGGAGGTGGCCCCCAAGCTCCTCCCACCCCCCACTTTCTGTTCGTCACTCTCACTGGCAAGCTGACTGCTCCAGACCCTCCCCAGCCTCCTCCCAACCTAGGCCCAGCCCAGTGGCCAGCAGAGCTGCTGGGCCAGGCCTGACCTTTGGGCCTGGTATGACATCAGCCCGGTCACCATGGTGATGGTGGCCTAGCAGCATCTCATGGGAGATGGGCCTCTAGGCTTAAAGCTTTACCACTTTCTCCCTTTCTTTAAAGTTTTAATTTTTGTTTCTGAACAAGGAGGGGAGAAAGGAAAACCATAACCAAATAAAAAGAAACTAAGAGGGAAAGACAGAGGAAGAGGGAGCTGGAGGAGGGAAGAACGGAGTCTCAGAGGGGGCGCGGGGGGGAGGGGGGGGAGGTCAGTGCCGATGAAGGAACCGAGAAAGGCCAGCCCAGCCTGAGGAAGATTCAGGAACATCTCAGGTGTCCGGGAACCTGAGCGTTAACCTGGAGAAGACGGAGGAAGGGCGCGTAGCCGGGGCAGGGGGCAGAGAGTCAGACGCAGCGAGGCCGACGGGAGAGCCCTGAGCAGCCAAAGCCTTTGGGCTCATTCCCGGGACAGGAGACGGCAGCTGGCCAGGCGTCTCGCTGGAGCTGAGGCACAGGACAGGGCGGTGCCAGGGGGAGCCAGGGCCCCGCAGCAGGGGACCCGGTGCCCCCAGGGCTTATAAAAAAACAGGCACGGGAAGATGCACATTCTTTTTCCAAGAAATGTAATTTGCTTGCAGCCGGTTTTTTTCTTCTTCCTAAAGAAACCACCACCACCACGTGGGGCCCCGGGCCCTGATCGTGTCCCTGAGTGTCCCTGGCCCCGCCCGCCCCGCCCATGCCCATTATTGCTCGGATGGGAAAGATCTGGCCCCGGGAATGGCAGCGTGCGGCGCCCCTCCTCACCCACTTGAGGCTGTCCCTGGTGACGGAGGAGAGGCACACAGTGCTCGTCCCATGCCCCGCGCCGTGCCAGCCACCCTGCCTGTGCCCATTTAAGGGAATGGAGAGTGCAGGCAGTGGGAAAGGCGCTAGGCCGCCTCCCCAGCCCCTCACCGCTCTCCTCAGTGCAGGAGGCCTCCAGGCAGAGTGGCTGCTTGTCAACCTTGACAGCTGGGAGGCTCAGGAGGGGGAGGGAGCAGCCAGATTCCAGGCACAAGCTGGGAGGAGAGAACTGGGTACAAGGCAGAGGTGCAGACCCTGCCTTCTGTCTCCCCAGGAGCATAAGGTTGGGACACTGTGGGGGCCTGGCTCTCTGTGGCCTCAGGCGAGTCCCAGCCTCTCTGGGCTCGGTTTTTGCCTCCCTGTGCGCGGGAGGGCGACGCGGTGGCCAAGTTCCCCCTTCCAGCTCC